TACCCATCTATGCCATCATCTTTCCACCTTCATCCTCCTAATGGGATGCTGGTGGCCTCCTTCCTTTTTGACTCTGCAAATCTCCATTAGATTACAATATAGGTTTCCTGTAACAAGGCAGAATGCTTGTCAGTTGAGATTTTGGTTATCACAGTAAATGGTTTTCAGTAAGTAACACTGAGTGGCTGTGATAATAATGCTATTGTTTCATAGCACCAGAAGCTGTGCTCTACATTATTGCCCAATTAACTTTCTTAAGTCAATCTCTAAGAAGCAGGCATTTGCGTATATATGCTGTCTTAAAATCAGGACATTTATTGTTCAGCCTATCTGGGTGTGGGTATTAAAGCAATGTTCAACTGAACCTGGATGGCTACAAATTTTCAGGCACTTAATTTTTTCCTTCTTTTTAATATTATTCCCATTGCTATGTTATGAATGGAACCTAAGGCCTTGAACACAATAGACAAGTGTTCTGCGAGCTACATCTTGAGCTCAGGACTCACTCATCTCTAGAGATCTTCAAATTAATGGGGTTTAAACTATACAAAGTAAATTAAGTTGAAGATTTCAATAACTCCCTAGAATATGATGGAACCCATATTGTCAATCAGAAGAAGTCACACTGACGCAATCCTCAAAAGGGCTGCTGGTCCTTCTGTGACTTGTAGACCCATGAGGAGGATGCTGGAAGGAAAGTGGAAGGCAACAATCTGATAAATCCTATGATAATGGAAGGGTGGTTCCAAAGATGGCTGAAGATCCACAAGGCAAAGCTGTGATAGATATTACTCTAGGCGTGAGAGCCTCATGGAATTTGCCTCCATTTCCAAAATGCTTGAATCAAGGACTGCTTCTCACATGTGTTTTACCCCTGTTAATAGAAATGTCTCTAACTAGCAGGTTATGAATCTATGGGGTATAGAGTGATGAAAGGGGAGTTTGACAATTTTCATTGACCACTATGATGCTTACTGGACCAAGAAAAGTATGAAAACCTGCAATTAAGTAAAACTGGAAGCAAGAATTGTATGTGGGGACATAACCAGCTTTAGAACCACCTCCAAAACATCAAATCTGCTATAAATGCATGTATACAAATCCACGTCCATGCCCTTGTGAGTAACATTTCAAGTATGGACACTTGCATGTGAGTTTTAATGAACTCATGGGGTATCAGCCAATCATTACACTGGTTGTTCCACTCTGATGTGATATTATTTGTCCATACCCTGTGTTGTATATGAAACCTCTTGTGTTCATAGTTTAAGTGTAGATGCTTCCAGTACACTGTATACTAGCTGCCTCTATGGGACCCCATGCTGTACTGAGAAAAATGAGCATCTGCAGGGAAAATAGGCTCATATAAAGCAAAAGTTCTTCCATGGAAAATCAAAGTCTTTTCAGTGCCCTTGATAGAGCCTAGTGCTTTGCACACACTAGCATTATATTACACTTCACCTGGTGACTGTATTTCAACAACCATATACTGTATTCACACATTGCACATTCACAGAGAGCACTGCAAAGTAAAAATTCTAAGAATGGCCTGCAGTGAAGAAACATGGTTAGTACATCTGTGTTTAGCATTTATCAAACTTGATTGGCCATTGGGTACAGCAACTACTTATTGGCCTTGTACATCAAGTGTTCATTACACAGACTGAAGAAAAACTAGTTGATATGTGTGTTTGAATGAAATAATTAGTCTATCACAGTATACCTGCTATTTACTAATGCAGTACATAACTAACACAAGAGTGTGTATTTGTACAGAGGTTGTCTATTGGAAAGGAAAATGAAATATCAACAAAAGATGAAAAGTATGATATGTTCAATAAGCAATTGTAACTATACAACAGTGTATTTAATGCTAGTAAGTGCATATTCTGTTGCTTTTGCATGCTTTTCCTCTTTACATTGACTTAAGAGTGGCAGTTTTGAGATGAGCTATCCTGTGGTTTCCCAACAATACAAGAATGGTCCAGGGAACCTGATCTCAGGGTTGGGCAAGGAGGCTGAGATACTGACCCGAGTCCTGCCTCAGCTCTGAGCCCCAGTGCTGGCCATCTTTCAGGCACAGAGCATCGCTCAGGCTCCACCTTAGCCCTCCAGTCTTATCAGGCCCTACCTCATAAACCCACTGCCAGACACCTTCTCCCAGGACAGGCTTTAACCTCACATTGCCTTTCTCTGGTCCCACCCCAGGCTTTTTAGTGTCACTCAGGTCTAGTGCTATTATTAAGCCTGATGAGACTAACATCGATCTCTGGAGAACTAAGAAGGAGAGACACCTGACATCCACTCATGGTCTATTAAGTATATACTTTCACATACATGTGTACACACACACACGCACACACACACACACAGAACACTATAAATGAGCATATAGAAAATAAACACATATACTGAGCCTCTGTCCTACACTAGAATGAATGTGGGATACTCTCCTGAGCTACAGAGGGAATGGTCTGGTGGGTAAGAAGCCCGCGAGTCAGAAGAATTAGAGTTGCCCACAGTCGGAAATGGTGATCTTCTTGCTGGTCTTGCCGTTCCTGGACCTGAAACGCTCCATGGCCTCCACAATGTTCATGCCTCTTTCAACTTCCCAAAGACCACGTGCTTACCATCCAGCCACTCGGTCTTGGCGGGACAGATAAAAAGCTGGGAACCATTTGTGTTTGGTCCAGCATTTGCCATGGACAATATGCCAGGACCTGCAGCCAGTGCCATTATGGCTGCTGAAGTCACCACCCTGGCACATGAATCCTGGGATAATTCTGTGAAAGGAGGAACCCTTATATCCAAATCCTTTCTCTCCAGTGCTCAGAGCGCGAAAGTTTTCTGCTGTATTAGGAACTTTGTCTGCAATATCTCGAAGGAGACACAGCCCAAGGGCTCGCCATCAGCCCCGATGTCGAATTTCTTCCATTTTCTTCAAAGGATTCTTTTTCATTTCCTCTTTTAGCATTTCTATCATCTTCATGAAGTTGTTTTTTCAGGTCATTCTCTCCTGATTCATCTGTGTTGGGATGTCCAGGTCTTGCTAGTGTAGAGTCCATAGACTTGGTTTTTCTGTTGTTGAATGTGTTCTTATATTGTTGTCTTCCCAACCCTTCTTCCAGTGGCTGCAGGTGGGGTCTGTTCCTCTCCTGGTGTGTACAGGTCCAAGGTTCTCTTCTGGTGTGTGCAGGCAGGTCCAATACTTCTTCATTCATTAAAAGATGTGGGGATTGGGTGGGGGGCTGGGGAGGCTGGTGGAGGGATAGGAGAGTTGTGGTGGGAGAGGGAGCTGGGATTGATATGTGAAGCATTCATGTTTCTAATTTAAATAAAAATTTTAAAAAAGATCCCTTCAAAAGTGAATTATGTCACGTGAAGTTCACTGTATGTGCCTCAAGTTTGTCCCTGAATAAATTGTCACCTCAACATTCAGTCTCATAGCTTTCAGTGGAATCATCAGTCTCTTTTTCTGCCTGATTTTCTACTGGAAGGTACTCATGCATGTTTCAGAAAGATTTATGGAACATTCATGCAACTATGAAAGTCAACAAAGATGCTCATAAACATGCCTTGGCTTTACACCAAGAAGACATGCATAGTATGTATTGTATTTTACCATAGATACGTTGCAGGCCCATTGTAGGCATCTGGCTACAGATTCTTGCATTTGTAATACTTAGAAGTTTGCTGAATTAGTAATGATTTTTAAAAATGACTACGTGTAGCACTTAGAAATACTCAGACAATGATGGTATTGGTTATTGAAGTAGAAAAAATTCTCTTTAGGTGTTCCAATTTTTCCTGCCCCAAAGCTGGAGTTGACAGGGGACAGATTACATTAGAAATAGGAAAACTTGTTCAGGAATATTCCAAGAAAAAAGGGAGAGAGCAACAAATAGGCTTCAGCAATTCTAATGGCCCATTGTGCAAAGGATGTAGTGTTTTCTGTCATCTCATAAGCTGTTGTGTTCATTGTCAGTTGTGAGCATTTTCTCTATGGGTGTGGATGGGGGATGCATCTGCATGACCTTGATAACCCATGCTTGTGGAGTTCAGAGATCTGTGTTCTTACTCAAAATACATTGAGGTTATTCATTGCTGCAACTTTACTAAAGGGTGCTGACATGTTCTGCAACATGGAGCTTCTCCTACAATCCAGAATAAAGGAGGGTTCCTCACTAAAGTATTCAATTTTCATATTAGAGGCTAAAAAGAAAAGAACAATCACTGACATGGAGATATATGAACAGTTTCCAGCAACACTGACAAAATGTGCTTGGGTATCTACTTTCTAGTTCTCTCAGAAAAACTTATGACTCCATGTGAGGAATATCAGAGTAAAGGACTTGCAAAGTATGTACAAACAACACTAAACTTTATTAAGAAAACTTCATAAATATAGATGCACAATGTAAAATTAACAGAAAAAATAAATTCAAACTTTTTAAATGTAAAATTGAGCATTGTCTGATTTGCATCATAAATAATAGGTACCATGAAATCCATAGTTAATTTTGGACATTGGGTTGGAGAATTATAAATGCTAATGATGAAAACAAAGAAAATATATCAAAAGAAATATGACTTTAAATTGAATATCTCTTGGAAGAAACTGTTCATTACAGGACTAAAGAGGCTGAGGCTGATATTAAAGGAGACCTGAGGTATAAATACATATTTAGCATTATAAGAACTTCCTTAGCATCCAAGAGTAAACAGATCTGATTATTTGGGACCATGATGTGATTTGGAACATCTGTGTCACTTTTAGAAATATTCCTAGCTGGTCTGAGTCCAAAGTCACATGGACAGTATTCAACAATAATGGGAAAGAAACATAGTGCCCCACATTAGGACGACTAGTCTGACTGGCAGTAGAGACTGGCACTTGGATTGACATTCCTTTCAGAAATAAACAGTTCAAAAAATAATATATTAAATATCAAGAAAATTAACAAAAACAACTAACAAAAACTTATGAACAAAACCAGAAAAATTGTAAAAATTAAACAATTAAAAATAATTTAACATTAACATCAGTAACATAATCTTGAAAGAAACATACATATCAGCATGTTATGTTGTGTGGGCTGTGTGTTTCTAAAATGTTTTGGGCACACACATCGGATAGATTGCCCCAGATGCAAATCTGGGGCAGTTAGCAGTACATGGATGAGTGTTGGGGCTTCACCCACTTTTTATAGACCAGAGCCTGTTTCAAGGCTCTTTCAGCAACCCTGCCTGAAGTCCCTGGCAGCATCTATAAAAGACTGCAGAGCAGCCTCAGCAGCCAGTTGGAGCTGCTGCTACAGTAAGCGCTTATGCAGGATTTCCCATACCATCTTCTTCCTAAACAGAGGCATATGCTTCTGAGAGAAGGTTATGGGTTGGCCTCTCGAAATATAGTCTGCGTATTTACAGGTGAACACTCCACAATCACTCTTATTCAGCTGCAGAGGGATCTCCTCTGCTTCCATGCTGTATTGCCGCCACTCCAAAGGGTCCAGATCTATATTCCTTCTCGCTTTGCTCTCTTCTTGCAGGTACTGGAAAATCATCCTCAGGACACTTGGTCTTTTGAGTCCCATGGAATCCCAGTAGGCAATGGTCTTCTTTCGTAGGTCTATGACCACCAAACTCCAGTGGACCTCCAGGTGTACTGGCACAAGGACAATGTCCTTTTCAAAGATATTCAGGGCCCGGGTCCACCTCTTCACAGACCTGTATCCCCCACACTTGAGTTTCGTATAGAAGAATGTATTAAAGGTGTGAATCGCAGCATAGCCAGGTAATTTGCTTCTTTCAGAGATCAGGTTCATGTAAAAATTTATGATGTCATCATTGAGCCACTGGCTTTCCTGTAGAGTCTGCATGTCTCCTCGCGTAATGGTCAGTTTAAATGCACTGCTTAGGATGTCCTCCTGTGGCCCTGGAGCGAGTGCACTCATGATTTCCTTCTCCATGTCAGGTGTTATATCAGGGCCATGGTCTTGGCTGATGTCCTTCTCTTGCTCCTCAAAAGGCTTCTTCTTGCCCTCTGGCTTTAACATATCCTTGTGGATGATGTCACTGGTGTCACAATTTTTCGAGTTTGGGGCCTGAGCTCCTCCCAAAATGTCAGGCTGGGAGTGGTGTATTGTGATCTGGTTGTCAAAATCCACTCCACCTGTCTTTTGGGCTTCAAAATGTGTCTCTGGGGAGTAGATCTTTTCAGTTTTGACTGGTGAATGGTGTCTTGTGACCAGATGTCTGGATTGATTTGGCTGGAACAGAGTTGTTTCACATCCATGAATGTGTTCTTCCATGTAGCCTTTGGTGATCTTCAGGTCATCAGCAGGTCTTGTGTGAGAGTTGGGAGGACCACAGTGGGCAGCATCGCTGGGTTGAAGATGACCCAATAACCTTCTGCACTTTTCATTATGCTGTTTCTCAACTGTGTCCTGTGTGCTGGAGTAAGTGCGCTTGCGACTCCTGCCAGCACCCCCACATTTAACCTCAATGACATCCTCTGATTGAGGGTCTATGACCCTGTCCTGGTTTTCTGGGTGCAAGGCACCCTCTTCCATGGGATTCAATGCCTGATGATTTCCAGGTTCTTGATGGGCAGGATGTTTTTCCAAGTGTTCTTGTTTCACTCTCTTTGGAGACTCGTGTGGCTCCTCAGACTTCTCATCAGTTTCTCCTTCGTCCTGGCTCTTTCTTTTGCGAAATTTCACTGCATGTTTGGGACACATGGTACCAAGATTCTGGTTACATTGACATGTTGAGGAAGGGCTTGGTCTACCTTTAGTCATTAACAGGTTGTCTGATTGGCAAGAGCCTTTGAATTTCCATGTTGAAGTGCAGGTTAGCCTGAGTGTTGTTGAATCCTTCTGGAATATTTGGGTATTTATATCTGATATATCAGTTAGTCGAGTAGGAGTCTTCTTATCCTCTTGAGACATTTTGGTTCAAGTTCAGAAATCACAGTATAAAGTGCTAGATGTCCTCTTTAGCAGTGGAGGTACGCTTGGTGTTGGAGACAGGAGGAAAGTGACACCAGATGGATGTGACAGGATGAAACTGCACTTTTGGCTCACTGAGTCCATCAATCAATTCCTGTCTCTTAGGAGGTAGTTCTCTACTAGTTCCACTGTAGACTGTTTAATGGTCTTAATAAAAAGTCTTGTCTTGTGGGAAAAGTGGGGCTCCAGAGGGCAATAAACCTCTGTGTACCCCAAAATTGAGGTAATGGCTATGAGTTTCGTAGCCAGTAGCTCCAAGTCATAAGACCTAGGCAGCACAGTCAAGGAATTGGAGGCAAGACTGTTTGTCTCACTGTTGCCCTGGCTAAGACCCCGATGTTCCATAGCTAGTTATGATGCAGTTGATGCTTCATGACAACATTCTATAGTGAGCACAGCCCACACCCACCGTCTTCCAGATCAACAGTTATTTTTGATGTTTTTTTTTAAAGACAGGGATTCTCTGTAACAACCCTGGTTATCCTAGAACTCACTTTGTAGACCAGGCTGGCCCGGTCCTCACAGAGATACAGCTGCTTCTGCATCCTGAATACATGAAGTACTGTGTATGCCACCATTGCTTGCCACTTTAAGATTCTTAATGCTTGTTTCAATTCTTTAAGTTACTCTTAGACTGTATCCGTTTAAAAGCTGGAAGCTAACACAGAGTCAGTTAAAATTCAATAGGCATGAAGTGTAGTTATGCCTTCAGAAACGGGCAGACGATTGGGAAGAACAGTAGATTCACTATATTTCATTTTTTTGAAATGCAAAGTCTCGGAAGGAGGTTAGACACTTGGAACCATTTAGACACATCTCCTTTCCTCTCTTCTGGACAGAGGATTAGGCTCAGTTCAACCATACACCTACAGAGATTTGGTTTATTTTGCAAAAGTGTGGCTCAGGCAGTGTATGTTCATCTAAGTAGAAGCTAAGAGCCAATGCAGAGTCAGGTTACTCCCTCCTCCTAGACCTAGGGTACACATACTGGATCAAGGTGAATCTGGGTTACCTGCACCCTGAGTGATTATCAACGCCTCACAAAAACAGTGACAGCAAAGGGGAGAAGCTTTTGATTTGTTGATCCCCGAGATGTGTCAGTTGTCTGTTGTGTCATCACAGCCTAGCTCATCCCATGATCTTGCTGCCTCTTAGGGAAGGATCTCCTTTCTGATGCTGTTTTTAATTACAGAAAACAAACTGTAAGTATCATTCCATGACGTGGGGTCTAATTCTTCTAAATTGGTTGATAAAATTTACCTGAAAAGGAAATTTTCACTATATCGGTGTATTTCATCTCCATATTTCTTGTACGTACAAATAAAGTTACATGTATGAGACCTGGTAGACACCACTTATCAGCAATGTATCCTTTAACAACAACAATGGCTTAATCAGTGATCTGTAAAACCCTGTAGGCTGTGATGAGAAAGACTCAAGGTATTCCTGAGACAATGCTGCTATTATCACAAATCATGATTCTATTCCCAAGAAAACACTGGGGAGAATTTAATTGAAGGACATCATTAAAAACATAAAGCGGATGTGGTTATGCATGTAATCTAGCACTAGGAATACCAGTGTAGGAGGATATTTTTCAGAATGTAGACAAACTAGAGAGAAAGTAAAAAGGATAATGAAGTCTTAAGTAACACAGAGACTTTAGAAGTTTGAAAAACAAAGCATTTGATTTTTTAACAAGCTTTTATTTAAATTAAAAAGCAATCTTACTTTACATACCAATCCCACTTTCCTCTCCCTCCTGCCCTCCTATACCCCTACCAACCCCCTATTCCATACCATTCCACTCCTTAGGGAGGACGAGTCCCATCATGAGGGATCATCAATCTGTCACATCATTTGGGGCATGAACTAGGCTATCTCCCATGTATCTAGGCTAAGTGTAACCCCTCATAGGGAATGTGCTCCTAAAAACCCGTTGTACACTAGGGATAAATGCTGGTTCCACTGTCTGAGGCCCCATAGGCTTCCCAGGACTCCAAACTGACATCCGCAATCAGGGGCCTGGTTCAGTCCCCTGCTGGTTCCCAGATCTCAGTCTGGGGTCCATGAGGTTCCCCTTGCTCAGGTCAGCTATTTCTGCTTTGTTCTCCAGCATGATCTTGACCCCTTTGCTCATCACTCCTTCCTCTCTACAACTGGATTCCCGGAGTTTGGCCCAGTGCTTGGCTGTTAGTCTCTGCTTCTGCTTCCATCAGCTACTGGATAAACGCTCTATGATGGCATTTAAAGTAGGCATCTATCTCATAATAAGGAAAGGGCATTTAAGGTAGCCTGTCCACTATTGCTTATAGTCTTAGTTCGAATCATCCTTGTGGATCCCTGGACATTTTCCCAGTGCCAGATTTCTTTCTAAACCTATAATGGCTCCCTCCATTAAGTTATCTCTTTTCTTGCTCTCCTCCATTCTCCCCACAACTCCCTCTTCCTGATCCCTCATGTTATCCTCCCCCTTTCTTCCCTGCCCCTTCTCCTAACTGCCTTTCCTTGACCCCTGTGCTCCCAATTTGCTCAGGAGGTCATGTGGGTTTTAGGATGGTTATCCTTTGCTCTCTATATAATATCCACTTATGAATGAGTACATGCCAGAATTATACCCAAAAATGAATGCGGTATTTACTACTTTGTGAAGGTGTTTCAGAGTCTGGATCATTTGATCAAGTGCTTACTAGGAGAGCATTAGGACCTGAGATTGGAGAGCCAGCAAATGTGGAAATTCTCAGTGTAATGGTGTGTGTCTGTCATCTCAGTGCAGCGAAGATATAGACAGGGGAAACTCCAGGGCTACTGATCAATCAGGCTAACCCAGTGCGTGATCTCCGGGTTAAGAGAAAGACCCTGTGCAGGGAATTGAGGAAGAGAGCGGATGTCAACCTATTTCCTCCACACGTACAGGTGCACACAGTCCCTCCCTCCTCCACACATGCACCCACATGGACCCAGTGAAATTATTTACCACAAGCTCAAATTAATTCTTCAGTGAGAGGCTTTGTGGATGCCAGGCCCCTGGTAATAATCCTACTTTGTCTCTAGGAGAATGGCACATGGTTCATGAAGTTCTCCTTATGGAAACTTGGGCCATCCAGAAAGGGCAGGAATCTCATCCTCAGGGCCTTGTCTTACAACACAACTCTGAAGAGTGAAAGTATGCTAATTTGCAGGCAATGGGACAACACTATAGTGCTAAGAAAACAGCCACCACAAGGTGGAGCAATGTCAGAGTATAAATGTGAGAACCTTGGAACCTGGGTCTCCATTACATTCTAGTCTTTAAATCTCAGACATTCAGGTAATCAAATTGGGGAATAAGTTGGAGAAAGACAATTACTGCGAGTAAGAAGTTGAGAAACAAGCTTCATTGATTTACAACTAGGATTGGAAGGACTCTTCTTGTTGTATGTGAACCTGATTCCCAGTCAAGAGATTACAGGTACACAGGAAATAGTGGGAAAGAGAGCAAAATCCAGATGCAGGAAGATGTGCTCTGGAATTATGTCCTTATTAGACCTCAGATACTAAACAATGTGTCTCCAGATTCTCATTTGTACCATGAAGGCAGTGGAATCCACTTTTGGAGTTCTTATCAAATGTACTGATATCAAGTCATAAACACACTCCACATAGTATATGGACACTGATAATTAATTTTTTCCTTGCTAAAATTTAGACTCATCCAGGAGATAAAGCTCTGAGCACACCTACAAGGAAATCTCCAGATTTGGTTAATTGTAATGGAAAATCCACCATAACCATGTGTGTCTCTATTCCATAGTCTTGTGTCCAGGACTGAGCAATATGGTAAACAAACCTAACCATGAGCATTCATCTCTCCCTGTCTCTCTACAGTAGATAAAATACTCCAGTCTCCTGCTGCCATTCCTGTCCTCAGGATGGCCTGCTGTCCACTGGAGATCAAATAAACCTTTCATATCTTTGGTTACATTTGTCAGGATATCTTGTCACAACAGGAGGTTATCATGGTGAAATAAAAGATGGATAAGAAATTCTCTCTGATTTTTAAAACGATTTCCATTAAAAGTGATTAAAACTGGTTGCGGTGGAGGAGTCAGAAGAATTGCTATGAGATTCAGCTGGGCCACATAGCAAGACACTAAAAACAAGAACCCTAACACACCAGCTAATTAGAAAAGGTTATAATGATGATACCACACACTTGGTTTGTTTAAATGCTTGGCATCTGGCTGTTGTTAGTCATGTAGGCAGGGGCTTCCTAGAATACACAGGTTGGTCCCCAAAACTGTCAGGAAACCATTATATTTGTAGTAACTTCCACATAGCTTTATCTCTTGGCCTGTTGTGACTTGAATAAAAATGGTTCCATTAGGCTCTTACTTTCGAATGCTCGGTCTTTTGTCTATCTTTTTGTCTGTATTGATGCTTGTCTCAACAGGTAAGGTCTCAGCTGCTTTTCTAGCCCCATGCTTGACATGATGTTAGCTGTCATGGTGGTAACTGTCTCACCCTCTGAAAAGAAAGCAAATCTCTAGTTAAATACTTTCTTTTATACATTGCCTTGTTACTGTTCATCTTTCTAGAAATAGAAGAGTAACTTGAGAAAAAGCTAAACCAGAGTCCCTTCTGCTAGGTAATTATAAGGATTATCTCAATAAGATCCAGTTCTATTGTAAGGATCTAGGGACCAGTATCTCAGCATGGAACAGGAAGTCTCTCCCAGTTGGTTCTGACCT